CGCATGTTCGTGCCGTAGTCAGCTGGTCCCACTGTTCCATGCTGTACAAGCTAGGGTGTAGCCCAAAAAGCTAGCATAAATTTGCTTATGTTCTTTTTGTCTGCCCTAATGCTGGAAGGCCTCTACATGCATGTCACAATGGTGTACGTCCTTGCACAGAGTCAGGTGATCAGCGGGTGCTTCTATAGATTCTGATGCCATGGAATCTAGCCAGACCGCGAGGAAACAGAATTAGCTGAACCTCTTAGAGGAAATGGCAACTTAGGTGTCTGCAAGGATTTCGGTGCAGAAGGTTTCGGGTACGGGGACACCGCGGATTCCTGCTGACCCCTCCTTCACTCCCCAACCGGCAAGTCCTCAGAATGAGATTTCAAGCGCGGAGCCAAGATGATGCTAGGAAGCGCCCATATGGCTTCCCGCAGCGAACTAAAATCTGTTGTGCTCACATGGTCACATGCTGGATGAAGAAATGGATGCAACGGTTGGAGTTGGGAGTTCAGGGCAGCTTACGACTCTCAGGCAACATGGCTACAGTACCCAAACTTGCAGTTCTACACCCCTAGGTAGCTAAACCAAAGCCCACGAAGCAATGGTTGTCTCCAATTGAGACACTTGGCGTTCAAGAGGAGCACGAGCACCTGGCTGTTGTACTGAGAACCCTCTGATAGCTACTGTGGACGGAGGACGAATTCACCTTGCCTCCAAACTTTTCAGAATGTGGATCTAAACTCTTCCTGGGACTCCGCTGGCCTATGGTAAACAACACACTACAACTACTAAGCTGCGGGTGAGTGGAGCCACAATTTTCTCTCACAGCACAGTGCTGAATTGTTGGACATATCCTGATTGATTTCTTCACAAGCTGCAGGGAAATACTGCTGGCACACCAGAACCACCCAATGCTCCCAACAAAGCTTAAGGACACCCACCGGCGGCCATTACGGACGTCCTCCATGCCGCAGTGATGAGTCGCCTTTTGAAGCCCCCTGGATCTGTGCAAGAAGCATAGGGGAGAGAAGCAAAGGCATGAATTACATGCTTGGTGGGCCGAAGGGGTCTGCCCGCATGTCAGCGCCGGTCAATACGTGCAAGTGAAAAGCAGACAAGCTTGGCACGAAACCTTATCGCCAGTCTCTGAACCGCCAACCCTCGAAGCCCTAAACCCCAACTGAGATCGAGACATGCCTCTCGAAATCATACAACGCTCATTGTGGCGAAGGTTATTTCTGCTGCGCACCATGTTCAAACCCCAAGTGTTCAAGTGTCCAAACACCGGGTTTTGGGGGGCCCAGAAACTATCAAGAATTTGAGCGCTTGGAAAATTCAGGAAAGCATCTGCAGTCAACCTGCCGTCGTCTAAACACAAGGCTGCTGCCCACCTTGCTGGAGCTTGCGTCTAAAGTTCGGGTCTTATAAGATTGGGGGTTTGGCAGAAGGTTTGCGTGGCATGGGTTTTGATGCAATTGTTGCAGATATGGCATCGGAGGCTGCAATGAGGGATTCTGCCCGTGGCCCGAAAACTGATGCTGCAATAAACACCTGCCTTTCAAAAAGCCGCTTCTGATGCCGTGGCCGGGCCCTGCGAATGCCAGTTCGTAGTGTTAATTAGGTAGCGGGGATGTGTGTTTCCTCGCTCTCCACAGCCATGTTCACTACAAGAGTAACATGCTGTCACTAGAGCTTCACTATCACACAGGGAAAATCCTTGCTAAGGTTGTCGGCCGGGGAACAATCTGCACGCCAAACTGTGCAAAGGGCTGTCCGAGGGACGTGCCTGCGGGAACCACTGCGTATCTCGGCTGCAGAAAGTGTTGGCTTTAGTTTTGCTTTAGCATGTCTAGCGTGTCTGCAGACTGTGGAGGGATTTGTGGCGTAACGTGACACAACCCATATACTTGAGCTGACATGCAATCGAAACTCAAGTCCAGAGGAATAATATTGTGCAATTCGGGCCGGTCATGTGGGCAAGGAGCTACACTGCACAGAATCTCTGTTACAGGAATATCTGGAAGGACAAGTAGGGACAAAGTTGGTTCGCTGTCTAGCCCTAATGGAGGGTTCAGGCCTTGGACTTCATTTTCACCCCAGAGCTTCGTGATCAAATGAAGCGCACATACTCTTGAGTACAAATGCTGGCAAGACCAGCTGCCTGACTGCATCCAGATGATGGCTTGGCGCAATTCCCGAGTCTTAGCTGTCAACCCAACGGCGAATAACATGGCGTCCCAAAGGGGCGCCTATACAGTTATGGTGGGACCTAAGCGAGACAAGTACCTGGACGCGTTGAGGCTGGCTCTAGGCTGCTGCAAGGCACTCCTGGTTTCGATTGTTAACCCGAGAACCTTTGTCTTGGCTGAATTACATACTGACATTGTTGTTACACCAGCCAACGAGGACAGTTTTCATAGGGTTTTCGCCGCTTAGCTTGGTTCATTTGAAGACCTGCGCGCGATCGTTCTAAGTCAGCAGGAAGATTTAGCACATCGTGCTAACCCGAGGATAATTCCTGGATCCTACACTTTCCTCCAAATGTTGAGCCAAATGCCCCTGCTGTCATCAAACGTCAAACCCGCGGACCTCAAATCTCCGCCGTACACCCTACACCATAAATAGTGTCTGAGACCCTTTCCTTTACTAGCAGTCTGTTGACAGAATCCCAACCCCAAACCCTGAACTTCAGTACTCAAGCATGCAATTCTTGCGGGCTCGGACATCCTGGGTTGCTTCCCGAGGCGGCCTGGATGCGTGGATGGCGACTACTGCGCCTTGCGCTGCGTGGTTGGTGGTTGCCCCGCTGGCGCGAAGTGCATCCACAACTCCGGTTTGTCCCTTGACCGCTTGATGAAGGCTATTGGGCAGCTCGAGCCCTTCTGTTCATTATGTTCCCGCATTTTGAGAATAGCAATTACAGCAAACTTCCAGGTAGGGACTCCGCTGGCATGTTCTTTTGGGAAGCTTTTACCTTTAACCTCATCCCAAGCTCATATGACAGCTTCCAGCTCTGGTAATTTTGCAGTTCTGGCAAAACACGTCAACACAAAACATATATGCCCTATCAACGCTAAATCCCAAGACCCTGAAACAGGACCAGGTGTAGTGCGCAGTGTAGGGCCACGAAAACAAAGCAATCACCATGCGATCCGCGACAAAGAGCCCCGCCAGAAGATCAACAAGCAGCCAAAAGCTCCGGTACTAAAGCTGGAGAAGGAGTGTGTTAAGTGCAGTGTTTACGCGTGCGCCTGGGCCTGGAGACTGTCACCCTATCCTTAACACTTATTCAGAGGCTTGGGGGACTGGTATGAAGAGCTTCCAGTCTTACTTCTCTCACAGCAGAGCTGGCCGGCCCCACAATGTCACAGGGAGGGATGGATCCCAGATGCCAAAACCCCACAGCAAAAAAAGCAGAACGAAGCCCTGAAG